ACAATAATAATAATAATAATAATGAACTGTGCAAACGTAAGGATAAAAGGATCCGCATTAAGACTGAGCTACCACCACTTATAAACTGTTCATATATTGTATTTGTACATAGGTACCTGCAGTATTATAATACCCAGGTATAAATTATTGCTGATAATGTATATTGTATACACATTGTACCTTTTAGGTATATAGTCCGTGTCGTCTTTTTTTATTTTCGGAAATCCAATACGCATTTACCCCATTAAAATCGTTCGAGCGAAATGTCGTGGTCGTCGTTATAGGTTGAAAAGTGGAAATACTCGTCTGCCATATATACAATACGTATGTGATTTCTCCGGGGGCACAGCATAATACATGCCTATACATACATATGTATATACTATGTATTATATATAGTATATTATGGCCGTGTAGGTATATAATATACAATATATACATTATACATATTATATAATATATACTTCCTCGTCACCGCGGCGGCAGCGGTCTACACAATAAGGTGTACACACCAACCCGTCTTATATTATACATTATTAACATACAGACCACACCGCTCACTGTGTATCCTTTCGGTGTTTTTTTTTTTTTTTACATGTATGTGTACATTGGCGGTCACGTCTATCGGTTCGATTTTTTTTTTTCTGTGTAAATATATGCATTTTTTACCCGCGGCGATCAACCTTTACATATTGATTGAATTATTGTCACACACACACGCACACCGGACACAATGAGAACGACAAACCCGGAGGTCCCCGGCCGTATACAATGATCCGTTCCGACACGTTTATATATACCGCACGCGGTCGCCGCGCTTAGAATAGAGTATTAGAGCTTAGGGTATTATGGTAGCTCCGAAACTGAAAGACTTTTGGCCGCTGCCGCCGCACGACACACACCGTAATAAAAATATTATTATTACACACTCGCGCACGATTCACGATCACCGTTTTCCGGTGGAATATCAAAACGTTTCGTCTGATATATTGTGTACACGCTGTTCGAATGTTAGTAGGTAGGTATATATATATATATTATATGATGTGGCTATAAATAGTGTTGATCAATAAGGTTGGTAGTTGTAACAGTACTTTCAGTTCTTGGATCCCGAGGTTTTCGACAATTCGTTTATGGCATTGGTTTTCCTTTTTATTTTAACCGTCACCGGAATCGTAGGAGTTTATGAAATCGTTTGAAACCCAAACTAAAACCAAAAAATTAAAAAAAAAAAAAAAACTGTGCTCAAAATCCAAACCATAATCGTTATAGCTATACATGGTTTTAACCGATGTTTGACAGCTAGCTACCATCATCGCACTCGACATTTGTCGTTGGATTGTGACCGTACAACAAATTACAAATCTAGTATTAAATAAACGATGTTTAAAATATTCTTAATCGAATATAGCCATATAATTTTAGGAAGATCAAATTATTTTTAAATGCTTAAATATATTTTAATGTTTGTATAATGTTTTACTATATTTATTATTTACGAAACGTTTAGAAGGAAGATTTAAAAACTGTTTAATCCTTTCTTTTGCAATATTTCTAGAATCATAAAACTTGATCATGTTTTTTTGAGAAATGCTAATGGCAGTAGTGCCAATGGAGATATTATATGGACAAGTTAGTTTTGTATTCACTTTGGTGCCAAACTATCTACTTTCCATCTAAAAAGAAACACAATTACTAAAATGATATGTTTGCCATCTCATTGTAGTTATAGATTATCTTCACAATGACGTGTGCAAATTTTAGCTGAATGTTCCCAGGCCAGGAAAAATGTTCCAAAGTATTCAATTCATCAATACAACTTTTGATGTACAGCTCTTATTGAAAGTTGTATACTATAGACAATAATTTACAAAATATATTCATAATGAAATCTATATATATCAAAATGGAGCAAAAAATGTATAACAATATTCATCAATTGAGAACGGCTGGGCCGATTTGGAACAAATTTTTTTTTAATTGTTCGTAATTGCCAGAAAAAGGTTTCTACGAAAAAAATTTTGCAAAAACCCTTTTTTAAAAAAATTTTTTTGATGATTTATTTTTTGATTTCCATAATGTTTTTTTGAATTGAAAAAGTTACAGCAAGCTTTAGCTTGTAAAATTGTCCATATGACATAATTAATCGTTAAAATCGGGCCCCGGCTAACACCAAAAAAATGAATCAACATAGAGAAATATATCGTGAATTGAATATTAGGTATTAATATTATGTTTCACTATATAAAGTAAAGTTTAAATTTTGAAAAATGATAATTTTCGTATCGTTTTTATTCCGTTCGATTTTATTTATAGCCGTAATATTCTCTTTACATAGAACGCAATAGTCGACAGTAGAGATAAAATTTAGATTTTATCTATATGAAATATGATTATTCGATTAATACGACTTCATTTTACATTTTTTGTTTGGCGTTACCAGAAAAACTCAGCGAGTACAAATTTCGTTTATTTCATTTTATTTTACTAATCTAACAAGACCCAATCCTGGATGATTCAGATTCACAATTGGACCCGATAGGTCCGACCCGGGGAGTTGCTCAAACAGAGATTTTAAGATTCACGAAGAAAATATTTGATATACGGTTACTTTTAGTTATAGGAGAAATATATATATATTTAGTAGACATTTTTATTTTTTTTTGGTTTATTGGTTGCCTGCAGTGGTTCATCGAGCAGATCACGTATAAGTATGCTAACAATTGAATTTTCACACATTGCCTACCGGTTACCAAAGTGGCTGAGTTGCACTTATAGCCGCAATCAAAATAAATATAAAACATAGTATTTCAATAATACACAGCAGGTAGGGATAATATACTGCTCGTATTATCACCATCGAGTCTCATATAGAGTTGTCATTTTTAACAATTTAACGGGCAACAAAGTGCACGGGATCAGCTAGTATAATATAATATCGGTAGTATAGTGGGAATTTGATTTAAAAGTAATTAATATTATAGGACTAATTGATGGAGTGAATGTCCTGAGACTGTAAAATTGTTATTGCTATAAAACCTATAAAACGCTATCTCATGATGAGAACAAGATTATAGCTCTCTTGGCTTTCTGTGGGCATATGGGTAAGCATATATGTTCATCAGTCGCCACTAGCCAGTGTGTGACGGACGATCCGGGAAAGATACAACTATATTCACTAATTGTATAACAAATTGTTTTCAAAAAAAGTATTTCTGATCATATTTGATATTTTTACAACTCTGTTGTAGTCCTTACAGCGTAATCGTTTCACCTTGATGCTGGTCCGAAACCGGTTAATTCATAGTCAGCAACGATTAAAAGTTTAAGCACATGTTACGAACACTAGTATCACTAGAAAAGTCAAACTGAAATCAGTTAATTCATTGATTTTTTATTTAAATGAGGTGCTACAAGTTATAACAGCATTATTAAAAACTAAATATTGTAGAGAAATGACAGCAGTTAGAGGAAATTTATTATTTAAGACAATTTTATTAACTAAAGACTTAGGTCTACAACCTGTTGAAAATTAAAATTATTTTATTTTTGATAAACAATTAAAAAATAAGCTGTTCAGTCAATTACATATATGTGAAAATTAGCTATCAAAATCACACAATAATAGCAAAATAAATGTAGTTTAAACTATTATATCAATTTGCAACCTCTTTATTTTAAAAATAAAATAGAAATCACTTTTAGCAGTGTATGAAGTGATAATATAAATAGAGAGATGGTTTTTGATAATTTTTAAATCAATTATTTAAGTAAATACAGCTTAATAAAAATTCTGATTTTAACTTTGAAAGTAAATAGTAATTTTTATTCTGATTGCGCGTAATTGTATTCAATTTGAATAAGAATTTTGTTTAACTGTTCAAAAATTAAAGTCAATTTCAATGTTATTTCATAAAAATGTAACTTTGATGACATTATTACTAGCTGGTGAGGGAATTTAATTAAAACTATTCGTCCATAAATTGTACGAAGTATATTCATAACAAATACCGTTAGATAATTAACCGACTATCACGATGCATATACTATATGTTGTATTGTTCTTTTTGACGTCCATTAACTATTATCACCTATAATAATATCCAACAAAATATATTTTAAAATTCTCTGTATAAATAAATAATTACAACATAGGTATTAACCATTCCCCCGAATTATTTATCATTAGTGAAATGCATAAATATATTTTACAGGGTTTTAAAACAGAGGATATTTGGTTTAAGCATCGCGTGGTGCGTTCTATTTTTCATTACTATTAAGGCTCTGATATTATTATGGTGTGGGGCTGGTGAATGATGATTATTTTCATTATATTATTTATATATTTTTTTTCATAACTTTGCAGACTTCCTGGTAATAGGATTATTTATTTGGTTACAAAAGAAGAAACAGGAAACAAGTTTATATTATAGCCACAAGAAAAATCATTGAAACTCGAATAAAGTATATATGGTAGGCCTTTGAGTGAAATATTAGGCAGAATTTAAGTTAACGCAAGTTCCGGTTGGACAGAAAACGTTTCTTTCGGTGCTATTCGTTGTTTCATTATTATTTCTTTGTTTTTTTTTCCATTGCTTAAATACATCTAAAGTAATACAAATGGTAAATATTAAAATGTCTTAAAGGTTTAAAGAATATAAGACAACTATAATTCCGGTTTTTTATGTCTCTTGTTTAATTATTTACTGTTAATGCCTGGAATTATATTTCACTCAATTCATAATTGCAAAATAATAATTAAAAACCATTTAATAGAAAAAAACCTTGTGCATAAAATTCAAATCCTTTTAATCAAAAAAGTTTTAACATTTATATATAAAAATATTTATATGTATAACATAAATGAAAAAAATATTTTAAAAGGTATAGGTAATATAATAATATGTATATTTATGATTCTTTAATTATAGTATCATTTATTGAATAAAAAAAAAAAAAATGTTTAAGATTGTAATAATATATTAAACGAATATACAAAATGCATGTCTATTTTACTTGTTGTTTTTGCTGCGTGTGAATAATTTAAAAATTGCATAGTATTGCACTAGTATTAGTTGTACTCATCTATATTAGGGTATACTGGAATCATTGTATTATACATAATAAAAATGAAGAAAAATTACGTAATAAGTACCCAATAACAATAAATACAAATTTCAAGGTGGAGGAATATGCGAACATGTGTTAAGAGAAACGTTCAACTAATATATGATTATAATATGTGTACAATACATATTATATATTTTTGTAATTTTTTTTTTTACCATCTACAGAAAATATAACTTTATGATTTATACGATTAATACATAATATTGTAGTATATATTAAAATATAGTATAGGAAAATTATATTATAGGCAATGATGCAGTCTCAGAGCGTGGATGTTGATGCTTTACGTATATGAGAATAATAAATTTGGCTCGGGAGCCTCGAGTGATTATAAAACGGTGCCAAACTCGGTCGACTTCCTGGAATACGAACATCGCATCTTGCGCATACCCCGTTGCGGGAGGTAAATTAAACCTGAAAACGAACGAGCATATTATTATTATATTAAATATTAAAACTTGGCGTCATAGCTGATGTTGTCGATGGCGATATTACATTATTTATCACGCTGGCTGACTGGCGGCGCAATTAAATTTGTAACGTTTCCATCGACTCTGCGATGATTTAACGCCCGAGCGATTGCAGCCGAATGCCGACCACGTCGACGGCGCAGCACGAACGTCTCGATTCTCTGGATTTAGTGATACGACTAATAATGATATAGCAGGAGGCGCCTTACTTTAAAATAATAATATTGTTGTATTATGTTTAACGGCATGCAGGAGTGTTAATATAATATAATATATGGGTACGGAGACGGGGCGGACGATTTTTAAACGTCGCGCGGACGAGAGCAGACGGAAAAAGTAAAATCTCCGTCGCCAACGAACGCTCAATAATAATAAGTCGACGCAAATATTATGCGTACATAGATAATTATAAACGTATACAATACAATATCTATACCACCTCCGTTGCCGTTTCGACTGAAAACGCCACATAATACAATAATAATTATATTATAATATTATAGCAACAACGGCGGCGGATGACGACGAGCTGCACAGTACGATTTTCCCTAATGAATGCAATTGTCCCGCCAGCACGGGATTGAAAATGCACACATATATATATATATATAGTTACAACCATACTATATATTACGCATAGTCTATACAGAGGTGGGTACCTATATTATATTTATACAACCACACGTATTATTACTACGATATATTATGCATATAGACGACCGAGTTATATAATAATTATAATAATACGCGATACGCGTGCACGGACTGTGGTGGCGGATGTTTTTGATTGCGAATTCGGATACCTCGTATTATAGTATTATTGTACGCCAAACGCCAAATTATCGTCGTAATAATAATTCGATTTCGGATCTAATTTTGTGCGTGGAAAACAATGCGCCCTATTGTTCGTTGACCAGTTTGCGTATGCCTACGCCCCGACACGGCTGTTGTAGTAATAGTATCAACTCGACTTCACTATGAAACAGAATAGGTGCACTATACGTTATTGATTTCTGTTTATTTTATGCGAATAAAATTAATGCCAATATTGGCTTCTTTCACAGAATAGCAATGGGAAATAGGAATTGAAGAATTGAAACACAAAAAGTAACAGTAAAATTACAACAGTAGTTGCTTAACTTAAATCTAAACTCTATGCGGTATGCACCGCAAATTCGTACAAAATAATACGACGGCGCGTTTGGGTTTTTACGATTACCTTTACCGTCGTTCGTCGAGTACTCGGGCCAATAAATATATTAACGAATTCATATGCCCCCGCCCACCGCATTCGACTCGCATTTATATTGCTTTTACAGTGCATTGGTTTCATCACGACCGTTTTCCCATATAGCTTTTCAAGTACGTAACTGTCGATCGTTTATCGGTTTTGTTCGCCCGGAAAAGCGATATCATTACGATGCGTTATGGTTTCCATTGGATTCAGGCATTCAGCCATAGGTGCACGTCCCGATCTAAGTACCACTCGAAAAAATAGCAATCGTGAGATGTGTATTGAAAAACATATTGATAGTCGCACATATAAATAATAATATGTAGGTATGCAACGATTGCACTTCTTAAGTATTTCCACATTATTTTTCTACGTCTGTTTTATTGTTCAGCATTCTCAAAATTTTTATTTATTTTTTATTTATGATTTTACAGGTTTCAAAATATTATGTTTTTTTAGCTTCCATTTGTTTACGCGTATTTTATAATAATGTCACGAAAAGTTTTTAATATTTAAAATAAATAATTAGTTTGTATTTACATTATATATGTTGATTGCTAAAGTTTATTTGTAAGGTTACATTTCGAGGTGAACTTGATAATTTTTGAGGTTTGTTCTTCATTGAGAGTTTCTTTGGTATTACACGGGAGACCAAAAATTGGGCGTGTTGGTTCGTGCATGGAGCATTCATTGAATAATTAATTGTTTCTCAAAAATATTTTGATGAATGATTACTTTTTCATTTGGATCCACAAAGCGTTATAATATATATATTTTGAACAAATAAATCAATTAAGTAGTCGGTACTCAGTTGTGTATAAATCCATAATGGGAAACCTTATAACAGCTAAGGCTATAGAGTTTTTGTATAACATAAATAAAAATAATTACAAAATTAATTCTGCTTGAAAGTTCAGCATCTACATACTATTACCCCGTACATGACTACTTAATTAATTGTTTGGTTACATAATACCATGAATATCTACTTATTCTACTTTTATAAATAATGTATAAGTTATTCACTGTTTACCTATTCATTGTATACCATTTCTGTGAAGTAGTGATACGGATTTATTGGGAAATTGTACTCGTGCAGGTCGGTTACAGTAATTTATTTTTTTGGTTTACTGGCTTAAATAATTTACATAATTTACTTTACTTCCGACACAAAAAAAGGGGGAGGCCGAAGAATATCGTAGGCTTATTGCGTTTAAGTTTAAGATTTATAAAGTCTAAAAATTATTTTACATCCGGTGATAGTTAAAAAGTACAGCATTTCGTGAAAAAAAACGAAGATACACGAAAACCTTTTATTATCCCATTGTGTTCATATTTTGTTTGTCAAACGCCATATAGATATAGTCCAGTGGGATTTTTAAAGTTTTATAAGAATACCTACCCCTATATTATATTTAACGAGTATTGTAAAGAATGAAAAATGTTGTACCTACGTCACTGGAAATACAGAAATCGTCGTCATGGAACCAAGATTTATCCGAATTTTATCTTTGGTCAAATTAATTCCTAAAATATATCGTACTTACAATTTATATCATTTTCCCTTTATAAAATATAATATCATGTGAACACTATATCTGTAGTAAAAAATATCCTTAATGTGAATAATAGTGACATTATAAAAAATACTAATTAATACTAATATTTAAATGAAATATATTTTTTAATACATACTTGGTTGAAGTAAAGTAGGTATTTAAATATATTATTTAAAATACTTATTTTAGTGATTTTTTTTTACCAGATGCCGAGAGTTATTGTATGACGAATTTATCAAGGCCGTGTTTGACCTATGATGGTTCAACATTTTTAACCCTTACAGTCAAAAGTTTTTGAATACTTTTCCTTATTAACATACAAATGTTCCAGTCGAATACGAACAAAAAGTGACTAAGGGGTAGATTTCTAGTGAAAAAAACGTTGCATGGAGCGTATCAGACGGGCGCCTTTACTCACTGTACGAACCCAAACATAGAACTTCGAACATAAATAAACATAATATAATATTGCATTTTACTCGTATTTGTATCGTTATAGACTGCATTAAAATCAGTGTATTATTTATTCATGTAAAAAATCATAGAATCATGGTATCACAATATGATATGATAATATTATAATCTCAAGATGGTAGTATAGTACTGTGGTAGTAGGGTACTGTCGTACTGGCTGTTGGAGATAAATATTAGCCACCGGTCCTACTCACATGTGTGACCTACATTGATAATTATTTTTCTACAGTACTTTATGTCCAGGGCCCATTGTGTCATGTCTTATTGGACCGCAGGTCCAATGTGTGACCTACCTAATACGACTGAACAAATAATAAATAATAATGTGGAAAAAATATAGTTGAATTTTGTGTAGAGATAACAAGGGTTGTAACTATTCAGATACAGGTGCCAAATATTAATATGTATTATCCTAATGGCCATGGTCCAGCCGGTAATCTGTTTATATTAATTGAATTTCTACTTAATTACTTTCATTTATTTCAGTCGTAACCGGTAGAGTTATCATATAACTGCGTTTATAAGTTATAATTTATAACTAGTTTTAATCTATTAAATCAGATTAAAAAATAAAACAGCAGATCGTCATTTTTCTTTTTTGAGGTTTATTGATTCAAATAGGTACGATATGTTGAATCCTAGGCTTTGATTTTGCATTAATATGTTTTAATGTAAAATTAAAAAATTGAAGTTTTTAAAAATCATACTTTAATCATTAAAAATGTCTTTACTTAAAGTGAAAAAAACATTTTTTAATGTAATCAATTAAATATGTTCATGTGCTTAAATTTTTGCTATAAGCACTGACTAACTTGAAAATTACACATCGACATCGTGTACGTAGGAAGTACAACTTTATTAATTAGTACTTTATTTTGGATTTCGCATTTGTGAGTTTAACATTTTATCGTGATTATTTTTAATGATTGGTTGTGGTTTATTTTCTATATTTGTTAAAACGTGTTTTTTTGTATATTATCTATATTTGATTTTTGTATGAATAATTCTTAATGTGACCAATTAAAATTATATCTTTACCTTAAATAACCAGCTATTATACAGATTATTTAATAATATATTATATATTTAAAGTGAATGTTAACATTTTTACACGTGGTTTTTTCAACCATCTGATATAACGTTAATAAAATCATTATCCATGCATTATCCTGTGTAATTGTTCGTTAAAATGGGTTTTTTTTTGTTCATAAACTTCTCACATTTTTAATGCACACAATTATTCTAGAACAGTGTAGTGTGATAACACCATCGTCGTGTACAACTTTCTGTAGAATCTGCAAAACGTCTAATGATGATTCCCAAAGTTTACTGAACAAACTACTTTTACCGTCACTGACGTTTGTATAAACGAACGTGACTTTCGACGACCGTACTCGTCAAGTCAGTAAAACGTTGTTTAGGGGGCAAAAATCGACTTCCTTCACGTCTGACTACTATTGCCCTCGAGATATGCGTTCGTATAAAGCTCTTATAAACAAAATAACTTGGTCCGATGTTTTGCCCACAACTTAAATTCACAGTATCCACGAAAAGCACAATATTATTAGGAATTAATGTCTTCAAAACTATCCTTTGCAATAAAATACTGAGATTGCGGAATAAGTAAAGTAATTTTGTACAATTATAATACTATAGTACGTCTACACAAATACTTAATGTAAGGGATCGTGATCACTGCGTTCTACTAAAACGTCCAAAATTATCATTTTGTGATAATTGATTATAATTGAATAGTAACAAGTTAGTAGATAGATACCTATATAATATATAATATATGACAGTTAAATAATACATTAGAAGGCTTATTGAATGCTTCCTGATGAAAGACTACGGATAGATTGATGTTCCCTTATAATCTATGTAAAATACTAACACCCAATCCAGAAATGACATGGATTATTCT